GTTTGATTTGGCGCGAACTGCATATCAAATTACTGTTTGCTGACTTTCATAAACTGTGTTGAATATTTAGTGTGATGCCGTATGTTTCAATAAGCACATGCTCTATTTGGAGAAGCCCAATTGATTGTTTAATTCAGCTGAGGTATTATGGCTGTGGTCGTCATATAATTATAACTATAAAACGACCATAACCAAAATACCTCATCTGAATTTAAACTATCTCTTGGATATCCGCAAACAGAAGATGTAGTTATTGCAACATACTGTATACCAATAAGTATTCAGCACAGTAAATGAAAGTCGGCAAATAGTAATTGGATATGTAGTTCGCGCAAAATTGAACAATACATATTTCAATTAGTGTTTGATTTGTGACACATGCAATGCATTTATCTGATTTTCCAAGAGTAAAACATGAATTCACAAACAAATGACCAACAGAGATTATAAGAGTTTATTAAACACGAATTCACATAACAAAGATATCAAAGTTTAGTTGAGTCGAAAAAACAGTCATTTTGGAGGTATTTCGCGCCCCTCAAATTCGCCAAATTAAAAAACCGTCCTTCTCAGGCAAACTCCTTGGTCTCAATGGCTTCCTTGATCCAGTCAAGATGAGACAGTATCTTTGTGCTCGTGGCATTCTGGCCTGTGCAAAGGAAACTTCCACTGTTTATTATTTCATAGAGGATCCATTGTCCTTGGGCATCGACGCAGTTGACGCCGGCGCCATTGTCGCCCCAACAAGGATTCTAAAGGAATGAAAGCGTTTTAAAATCAGGCAATCCAAGTACGTGGAATATTAAAACGAGGTAGGAATGACACTAAAACCTACGTCTCTTATTTCCTGTGTACAGTCGACCAAGTTTGTTCGCATGTAGCCATTACTAGCCACCCAGTTTTTCGACATGCACACGTACGTCATAAATAGTCAGTAGAAGCCCTGAGTCACCTCACCTAAATGCACCGGTATTGTGAACGCGTGTCACTACTAGCTTTCTACTGCCGACTCTAGTTTGGATTCCCTAGCATTAGCAAAGAACATATATTGTAAGTTATTTTTAAAATACAGAGCGTTTTGTTTAATAATTTTAAAAT